AGGAATAGATCAAGAGAATATCAGAGATTTCAGCCCCCAAATCCTGAAGCCACTGAACCACCAGCAGCAAACACCCACTTTGAATTCTTGTTCTATGAGAGAAAATCAGCCCTTATATGTTTAAGCAACTTGCACTTTGAAAGATGACCCTAGGGTAAGGAACTGATTAACAAATACACACGTACACACGAGAGCGAAATTAAATTTAAACCAGATTAAGGTGGCTACTGGTACAACAGTACATCCCTATATATATCCAAGTGCAAAATTATGTGCCTTAGATGGTGCTGCACTTCTCATCCATCTGTATTTAGAGGCAGATGGAGGCTTTAGGTAAACATCTGAAGGCAAGCAGACGTCAAGATTTACCACATTAACTCCAGTGCTGGCAAGAGCTGTGCAGTCTGCTCACCAGGGCTCAGTGAAACTCTGTTTCACGGATGGCAAAGCTCCTCCGTGTTTGGTTTCTAGTCATAGGCAGGGGACGGCCCACATGACCTCTGAAGGCCACTCCGCAGGTGGGCTGCCCTCTCAAGAGCTTGGCATGTAACCCGGGAGTCTGGAACTAGCTTTCCACGAAAACGAAGCCGGTGTCGCTTCAAAATGCGGCGAATGGCTCGGAGGCACTCCCTGAGGTCCCCTTCCTCCCTCCCTCTCTCCCCTGGCTGCCTGGCTCCATTCCTCCCCTCCCCGACTCACACTCCACCCCATCTCTCTTACCCTCCTGCTTCACCGTCATGGACGGATACAGGTTTGGAATTTAAAGCCTGGGCTCTGAATGTAAGTCCTGAGTCTGCCACTATTTTTTTTTCCCCGTCTGAATGCTTTCTCTAGTTCCTGAAAACAATTATGTAAAGGCACAAGCTATACTCTGTCATTTCACCCATTTTAAATGAATACTCTAATAACTGTCAGTAAATTTACGGAGTGCTGTAACCATCACTGTCACAGCATTAGGACATCTGAAGCGTCCCAATAAGATCCGCCACGTTCCGAAGGTAATCCCCACTCCCACTGCAGCCCCAGGCAGCCATAGTCCCTTTCTCTGGTTAATGACTCGGGCTTGGTCCCCAACATTTCAAACCAAGGCGTTTATACAAGAAGCAGGGCTCTGTGTCCAGCTTCTTTCCCTTAGGATAATGTGTTTTAGGTTTATAAATGTCGTAAGTATCAGTAGGGTACTCCATTCCTTTTTTATGGCTGAATAATACTCTGTTTTGCGGATATGCCACATTTCTTTCCCATTAGCCAGTTGAAGGATATTTCAGCGGGTCTTACGTTTTGGCTCTCATGAATAATGCTGTTATAAACATCTACGTTCAAGTCTTTGTGTGGAATTACTCTTTCGTTTTTTCTTGGGTAGACACTTAGGAGGAGAATGTCGGACGGAAAATTAATATTTGACTTTTTAAGAAGCTGTCTGCCACTATGATGATGTCATTAATCTAGCTAGCCCTCTGCCTCCTCATCTGTGAAAGGAACAAGGACTCTGACTCACCGGGTTCCTGGGATGCCTCAATGAGCTCACGTACGGTGCATTCTGGCAGGAAAAACAGCTTAGCACAGGGTTGGACGACAGTAAGCGGTCCCAGCATTTAGACCGCCCAAGTGTCACCGACCAGGGGCTGTTCTGCACATGAGCACTGGGCTTCCTCCTTGGCGTGCCACACGCATTCTGCTCCCAGAAACTGTCTCCCACAGGCAATAGCCACGGATCTCCGCAGGGCAGGCTGCTGCTGCAGCCACACCCAAGGCTTCCACAATTCTCATGGTCAAGGGGGGATCCAACGGGGCCCACTGTACTATTTTCACAACTTTCTGCAAGTTTGAAATTTTTCAAAATTAAAAATTTTTTTTTTCCTTTTGAGAAAGGGAATAGGGATAATGTGAATGTCTCTGTCCCATATTAGGATTCAGGTAGCACATTTTTAGCAGCACGGTTTTAAATAGCTTTGAAGTCTAACATCATTGCGGTCTTCGCTCTATGACCTACACTCTCCACGTATTACCTGCTACACTTCTTTCCTATAAAAATAACTTTTGTCATTCCATTTTATGAATTAGTTGATAATCATAAAAATATTCTGTTTTTCTATTATGGTGGCAAACCATATATAACATAAAAGTTTATCACTTTAGCTGGGCTCGGTGGCTCAGCCTGTAATCTTGTGCTTGGGAGGCCAAGGAGAGTGGATTGCCTGAGCCCACGGGTTCAAGACCTGCCTGGGCAACTTGGCGAGACCTCGTCTCTACAATAAATCAAAAATCAGCCAGGCGTGGTAGCGTGCGCCTGTAGCTCCGGTTACTCGGAAGGCTGAGGTGGAAGGCTCGCTGGAGCCCAGCAGGTCGAGGCTGTGGTGGCCCTCCAGTCTGGGTGACAGAGTGAGGCTCCAACTCAAAAAAAAAATGTATCACTTCAACCACCTTTAATTCACACTGTTGTGCAACCACCACCACCACCATTGTCAGCACAGAACATTTTCCTCTGTCCCAACTAAAACTTCTGTTCCCATTAAACACTGACTTCCCTTGCTCCCCTGCCTCCAGCTCTTGGCAACCACCGTTCTACTTTCCGTCTCTACGAATCTGACTACTCTCACGGTATAGTATGTGTCCAGTATTTAACTGGCTTACTTCACCTACCATAATGTCTCCGAGGTTCATTCACAGGTTAATGTGTGTCAAAATGTCCTTCCTTGTTAGGGCTGAGTAGTACTTCGTTATATGGATAGGCCACGTTTTGTTTATCCGTTTCTGTGCCAACGAATACACAAACGTGGCATATTCTGGCTATCATGAAAGGCGATGAGCGCGGGTCACAAAGCTCTGTTGGGGTCCCTGCCTTCAGTTCTTTTGAGTCTTTACCTCATATGTCCTTTCTGTTCTTAAATGTCCCGTTTATATCCACCTTCAGTTGGATGCCCATCCGTCTGGCCAACTTGTGCTCTATGCCTACCATGTGCCAGGGAGGCACGGTGTTAAACTGGGAGAGAAATAAACAGTGAGGCCCCAGGCAGCTTGGTAACGTGAGCCCAAACATCCCAGTTATTCTGTCACACTGGAATTTTTTTTTTTTATAAAGGGACAGTTTTCCAAAAAAAGACAAGTCACTAGCATTTGGGAATTCTTTTCTGATTCGGGAATTTTCTTGCCATGCTGTTGGCTTCATGTTCCCCCCTGGCCAGGATCTCTTCTGCAGCCCCACATCCTTTCCTTCGGCTCCGCCATCACTCGATGAAGGCTTTTTCGTGTTCTGCTCTTTGCAGCTCAGCTTGTGTCCACTCTGTGGGTCATTCCATGTCCCTCTCCTGGCCCACCTGCCACTACATCTCTCCGAACCTGCTGCTTGAGGGGAGGGCGGAAGGGTTGCTGGACAGGCCGAAGGAAGGAGGAACCTGGCGATGGGCGGAGGGCGGCTGAAAGGCCGAAGAAGAAGGAGCTCGGCGCAAGGCGGAGACTGGGCAAGCCCTTCCTGGTTCCACCCCGGAGGAATGCAGGGGTGTGGAGAAAGGATGCAGCCATGCAAGCATCCCAAATATGCTGCAGTGACACAGGGTCACAGGAGAAGGAAGAGGAAGAGGGCTTTTCTAGCAAGCTCAGGAAGGGTGCTAGCTATTGTCCCTCCTTGCCCCGGGCGGGACTGTCCACCCTCTGCTGCCACCTGAACAAGCTGCCCTGTACAACTGTCTGGATCTTGCAGATGACCAGGAGAAACGCCAGGGCTTGCAGACCCTTTGGAAACAGGTCTAACCTACCCAAGAACAGACAGTCTAACTGGAAAAGCTTGGGCACAGCCAAGAAGCCCTTTTCCGATGGGATAATCTCATCTATTTTTCCTTAACTAGATTAGAAAAACAAAACACAAAACCAACAAGAGTAGATGGGGTGAGGGGAGAGAAAGAAAAACAGTAAAAAAAAGCGGAGGTACAGAGTATAAATGGGGAAGGAGTTAAGAACACGCTACCCCAAAACATGCCGCCCTGGCATATTGATTATTTTGCGTTAAAGGCATTTGAAAAACAGTAGGTGCAAGACCCTTCTGACCTCGGTGCTGTTTCTTAAAAGCAGGAGATGAAATTCTTCTGTGAAATGAGAAAGCATTATTCTCATCAAGGACAGAAAGTTGAGGCTGCGGGAACTTTGTACAAACTTTGCTATTCTGATCCTTATCTTCCTAAGCCACTTCTCTGCCCAGTTAACTGTCCCAGCCCAAAGCCTTCTGCCTGGTCGCCTTTATATACTCGACTGCTCTGTGTTTAACTCAGTACATACGTGTTCAACTCTAGCTGCACTTCTGGTCTTCATTTCCTTACAGGGGCTCCTCTATCACGTAAAACTTGTATTAAGTACGTTTGTATACTCTTCTCCTTGATGGTTCTTAACATTCATTTAATTCTCAGGCTCAGTCAAAAAACCATAAGAGGGTAAAGGTAAACTTCCGCCTCCTCTAACAATGGAGATTTACTTGAGATTACAGAGAACCTCATGGACTTCAGGCACTTTTTTGTGCCTGAAGGCTTATGGCATCATGGAGAAGGAAAGTAGGCTTGGATTTTCTTGAGATCTTGACGTTTGGTTTAAGGTTGGAATTTCAGTTTGGGGTGGGGATTGGAGAGGAGGCCTGGCTGGGATTCGGTAAGGATCATGACACAACAGGTTAGTATTCTAGGCACTTTCTCGTGCTCTAGCAACCGTGCTAAATACATTCTCACCATAAAGTCATTCTGCCATATGCCTCTTAAAACTGTTTGTGTGCAATCATATTACCTAATTGTACTCCTTTAAGAATCATGTATGAGCAACATTTTACATTTACAAAAAAAATTAAACAGCCCGAGTCTCCTGACTCAGGACTTTAGCACAAAAAATCGTGAGTTCTAGAGCTTGGTGAGGAGGGGGAGGGTAAAGCAGAGAGAAACCACAAGGCCCAGTTTTTTCCCCCGTTGTTTTGAAATTACCGAGTTCATCTTAATCTGCTTATAAATCAACTGAGCACTTACCTTTGGGTCACCGCCAAAAGAAGCCCCACGCTGATGGTATAAACAGCCTAGGGGGAGGGCAGCCACCATCACAGTCAGCTCTGGAGGACGGGCTACAGACAGCTGGACCGCAGACACTGAGGAGGCCGCTCTAGAACCCAGGCCCTATCGAGAGAAACCACGTGAGGGCCGACTTTAGAATCACAGTAATTTAAATACACAGAATGACTGGACTGATGACAACTGTTCTGAGGCCAGGCCCACAAGGACTACAAAAGATGCCAAGTTTCTGAGCCTCATTAACTGTGAGGATGGCCTGTAACAATTATGCTCACATTATTCTTAATTCCGGGGCCAGGACCTCAGCGGCCAAGTCAGCAGAGGACACAAAGGTGAGACTCAGTGTATATGAAAGATCCTAGAAATAGAACCCCTACAGATCTGGACAGAAACAAGACCCAGACAGACTACTTGGATCTAGGAAAATGAATTTTGACAAAGGTAAATACAAAACGAACATTTATGTCCAAAAAAACAACTGCACTTGTTAACAGAAAAAGGTGGCTGATTGACAGAGAAATGCAGCTTGACAGGAGGTTCTGGAGAGGGTAGTTCAGTGTTTCGGCTGACTGTACATTTGGTATGAGTCACAGTTTGTTTAGTATGACTCTGCCAAAAGAAAACAAAAGGCAGCAAAACCAAACCAAAAACAAAACCTACGGGGTCCTGGACTGCACGAGACCCGCAGAGCTGCAGAGTGCCAGGGCCATATGCAGAACGTAAGGCCCTGTTTCTACAAACACCCACGCAGGAAAGCGTCCTCCGCCAGCTTAGACCTTGGGGCTGAAGAAGGGACCACCCCACCTTGCTCTGCTCTCAGCAGATGCCCTCGAGGAATGGGCTTGTTACTACCCCTCACTAGGATAGCGACCGACAGAAGTTAAGCAGCAGAGTGAGCCGCGAGGAACCACGAGAGGGAACTGGGCCGGTCACCACTGAAGAAGTAAGAATTCAAGAGGAAGGAAAGATGGCTCCAAACATTTAAAGGACTTACTAAAACACAAGTGACCCATCTCCAGAGGTGCTCATTCAGCAGCTCTGGGTAGTCTCAGAGTACACATTCCTAACAAGCTCTGAGGTGATGCGGCTGCAGCCGGTCCAGGGACCACACTGTGAGAACCACTGCTCTAAGTATCAAAACTGTAATTTGTTTTTTGACACGCTGTAGTTCTAAGAGTTTACTAAGACACATGGTCTGTTTCTCAGTAAGTCCAAATTAGGTAGAATTTATTGGTTTAGAAGCCTCATGCATTTGTACCTAAGATTATGTTCTTATTAAAATTTCATGTTGCTTGGCAGGAATTTTACTTTCTGACCCTTGGTGTTTCTTATAAGTTCAGCTTCATAAAGCAGACTTCTGTTTCTGCCTCTGCTTCCTTTTCTGGCATTTTATATAACACACAGCTTCCCTCTGGTCTTCTTCCACTTTTCCTGCATTTTTCTATTATGTTCAGCAGACCAAGCTTCATAATATATTAAGACGTGAGCTGCTTTTATCAAATGATATGTGACCTTCCACATCTTATAAAATAGTAAATACCAATCCAATCCTTTTCCCAAAAGCCCTCACTGAGCCTATCATTACCAGGGACCTATCAGGATGAAAACAGCTGCATTCAATTCCTGATTAATTTTATTTTCTCTTATATACTTGAAGCTTCATCCTTTAGATCCCATCAGGAAAATTACCAGCATATGGGAATGCATATAAATGACATGCAAAGCAATGCAAATTAATACAAAATATACATCTCTAAATTGCTTAGGGAAAGTCTGTCAGCCTCAATGTTGATGTTATCTGCTGTCCTTCACTATACTCTGGCAAGCAGTGGCTGGACCCTCTCATGACAGCAGGCGGCACCGGACACTTGTTGACATGTTAAGTGGAAGGTGTCCCTGCCTGTGAGTTCGGCAAACAGGATCCTGGCCTTAATTTGCCGTTCTTTGGCTCTATGGCCTCGGACAGGTTCACGGAATTCTCTGGGTCTCGGATTCTACAACTGGAAACGATACTGTCATCATCACCAAACTGCCAGCATTATGCTTACTGAGCACTGCCATGCACCAGGCAGAACGCTCCTACGATACATGCACCGTGCACACCTGAGCACACACACAATCCTCAGATCAGCACACGGGAAGGCGCTGTCGAGCACAGACCCCTTCGGAGACCCGGAAGCCAGGACAGAAAGACCGGGAAGCTGGGGCTTGACAGAGCCAGGAGCTCAGCAGTCTCGCTGCAGGGGCCTCTCAGTGTTGTTGCGTGATTGCCACCTGTGTTGCCCCTAAACATCCCAGCTGCATGATCCTTGAAGCGCGTCATGCATAGTCATATGTGCTGCCCAATACTGTCTGTAGAAGATGTTGATGGTTCGTGTTCTATAAGCTGGTGTCGAAGGACCACCACAATCAGCGTGCTTTTTGCCTGAGACTCCAAGGGGACGGAGCTCCAGATCCTCTGGATCTCAGTCCCTCCTTCCACCTTGCTCCGCTAACATCTGAATGTCGCAGGCTCCCTCCTCTTGACACAGCCCGGTCCCTCTCTCCCACTTGGCACTCAGCACCGGACGGCTTCCAGGCCTCAGCCACCACCCTCCGCCCTCTCGCATCCCCCCAGGCTTCCAACCTGACCTGAATACAGACGACCGCCCGCTTTGGAGAGTCAGCCAGGGCCTGCTCTACGCCACCGCTTAGGAGGCGTTTCCATTCAGGAGCCTGGAAGCTGACTGGACTCTAAAACCGAACTTGTCTTCCCTCCTGAAACCTGTTCCTCCTCCGTGTTCCTTGTTGCTGGAAATAGCAGCACCCGAGCTCAGCGGGAGTCACGCTGCGCTCTCACGCCCGACACACCGCTCGTCCCCAAGCCACTCCGGGGCTGGCCTTGAGTCCCCTGGTGTGTCACCGCTACTGCCACCCCCGCTGCCTCCCCCGCCCGGCCTCCCACACCCTCTGAACGGACCCCATCTACGTGAGGGGCTTCTCGGACCCATTCTCCAGCCAGCAGCTGGAGTTCTGTCTCCCCATCTCATCAGGACACTCTGTGGTGGGAAAACATCCCGAGGGTCCACTCCCCACCACGGCCCAGCCATCCTCACCTCACCCTGGTGCCGGCTGGCCTCCCCGGTGCCGTTCTCTGTCCTCCCACAGGCCACACCGGGCCTGTCCTTTCCTCTCTGCCCCTCCCTGCTCCCTGTCCTCTGTTCACCATTCCCGGGGCTGGCCCCTCCCCTTTTCTCCTCCCCCGGTAGTTTACCCCAGCGTGGTCCCCCACCCCTGCCTGGGCCACGGACTCTGTGGCCTGCCAGGAACGGGCCTCACCGCAGGAGGAGAGCGGCAGGCAAGTGAGCCAAGCTTCGTCTGTACTTACAGCTGCTCCCCAGCGCTCACCTGCCGGCAGATAGGGCCGACGAGGCGGCTCACACTTCGCCTCCTGTGAGGTCAGCAGCGGCATTGGATTCCTGTTTTTGAGTTGGAGTCTCACTCCGCACCCAGGCTGGGGTACAGCGGCACGCCCACGGCCGCCCCAGCCTCGACCTGCGGGGCTCCGGCATCCTTTCGCCTCGGCCTCCCGAGGAGCGGGAACCACAGGCGCGCGCTCCCACGCCTGGCTAACTTTTTGGTTTACCGTAGAGACGAGGTCTCGCCAAGTTGCCCAGGCTGGTCTCCAACCTGTGGGCTCAGGCACTCTGCGCACCTGGGCCTCCCAAAGTGCTGGGACCACAGGCTTGAGCCACTGCCCCCGGCCAAGCATTAGATTCCCATAGGAGCTCCAAGCCTACCGTGAACTGCACGTGCGAGGGCCGCGGCTGCACAGGCCTTAGGAGAACCCAATGCTGACGGCCTGCGGCGGAGCCGAGGCGGAGAAGGCGCTGCGGGGCACTGGCTGCAAACACAGAGGAACGTCAGCGGTGGGGCTGGGCGGCCACCGCAGATCGGCGGCTGGCAGGCTCCTTTCGCGGCCCTCCCGGAGCGCGGCAAGCGAGCTGATGGGCTTCCCTGTCTGGCTGCACCCGGCGGCCGAAGCCGCAACCCGGCGCTTGTCTCAGTCGCCGCGTGGCGCACGCACGGCTTTCCTTGCCACGGCCGTCGGTGCCGCCTCTTTCCCTCGGCGAGCTGCCGTTCGTTGCGTGTTTCGCGGCGGTAACGACGGGAATAAACGCACCACGAGCGGCTG